GTGTGTTTTATTGTCTGTATTTAAACAGCTGTATGCCGTATGCACCTGAAAACTCAATTTCCTTTGTACAAGAATACGGCAAAATCGTATGGGTTGCCGAGTATGCTACTATACACTACCCTACTGAACATTACACTATACACTACTATACACTACACTGTAAACTACTATATACTACACTATACACTACTACATACCTGCCAACCCCTTATCAGTGCCCTTACCTTATTACAGACCAATTTAAGACGGTATTGGTCACCCCGTGCCCCTTATAAATCTGAACATCGCCACTGGGGAGACAAAGGCGGCCGGGCGTCGTGAATCCAAGTCCCGGGCGAAGCCGGGTAGTAAAGCTAGTACAGTATATGCCAAAAGGCCTTTTTGGCGTCCTCTGGTCTAACACAAATTTGAGACGAGGCTCCAAAGAAAGCTGTCTCTGGTGTGGACCAATCAGTTTCAAAGACAATGCCACATAGATTATCAGAGTATGTTTATTTTTGAATTCTGACCACAGGCATTGCGATTAATGCAGACATGATTCCTTGTAAAAGGTTTCAGTTTGGTGGTTTAACATCTTAACACAGCTGTTTTGTTGCCAGAAAAAAAGGGGAAAACCTATTTTCATATTTTTGTACTGGCAAAGGAGGTCCCATAATGTGACCTAAATTATGGTTAATCAGGGTAGTTTACCTAGGTATAAAAAAATAAGAATAGGTTTTACCCTTTCTGACAATAAAACAGGTGTTAAGATGTTCAAACAGCAAATAGATACTTTTTGCAAGGGTTCAAGTCATCTTAACACCTGTTTTATTGCCAGAAATTGTAAAAGCAATTCTTATTTTTCATATACTTTGATACTGGCAAAAAAGGTCCCATGATACAGTTTAACAAACGTATTTTTTATTATTATTAAATATCATGAGAAAGTTTTTTTTTAAAATTAATGTCCCAAACAAAAAGGTACAGTAAAGTTGGTCGTTGTTGTGCGGATCAAACCGCATTTGTCATCACGGCCCCGCGAACCGCGCCTCGCAGGAGAGGGCCCAACATAACGGCAACTCTGCCATCGCGTGGTCATTGTGGGGAATGCGCCATCTAGTCCCATCAATGTCACCATCTATTCACCATCGATGTCACCATTTATTCACCATCAATGTCACCATCTATTCAGCATCAATGTCACCATCTATTCCCATCACTCTCACCATCTATTCACCATCAATGTCACCATCTATTCACCATCGATGTCACCATCTATTCACCATCAATGTCACCATCAATTCACTATCAATGTCACCATCTATTCACTATCAATGTCACCATCTATTCCCATCACTCTCACCATCTTTTCCCATCACTCTCACCATCTATTCCCATCACTCTCACCATCTATTCCCATCACTCTCACCATCTATTCCCATCAATGTCACCATCTATTCCCATCAATGTCACCATCTATTCCCATCACTCTCACCATCTATTCACCATCAATGTCACCATCTATTCCCATCACTCTCACCATCTATTCCCATCACTCTCACCATCTATTCACCACAATGTCACCATCTATTCCCATCACTCTCACCATCTATTCACCATCACTCTCACCATCTATTCACCATCACTCTCACCATCTATTCCCATCACTCTCACCATCTATTCCAATCACTCTCACCATCTATTCACCATCAATGTCACCATCTATTCCCATCACTCTCACCATCTATTCACCATCACTCTCACCATCTATTCCCATCAATGTCACCATCTATTCCCATCACTTTAACCATCTATTCACCATCAATGTCACCATCTATTCCCATCACTCTCACCATCTATTCCCATCACTCTCACCATCTATTCACCACAATGTCACCATCTATTCCCATCACTCTCACCATCTATTCACCATCAATGTCACCATCTATTCCCATCACTCTCACCATCTATTCACCATCACTCTCACCATCTATTCCCATCAATGTCACCATCTATTCCCATCACTCTCACCATCTATTCACCATCAATGTCACCATCTATTCACCATCACTCTTACCATCTATTCCCATCACTCTCACCATCTATTCCCATCACTCTCACCATCTATTCACCACAATGTCACCATCTATTCCCATCACTCTCACCATCTATTCACCATCACTCTCACCATCTATTCACCATCACTCTCACCATCTATTCCCATCACTCTCACCATCTATTCCCATCAATGTCACCATCTAGTCCCATCACTCTCACCATCTATTCCCATCACTCTCATCATCTATTCACCATCAATGTCACCATCTATTCCCGTCACTCTCACCATCTATTCCCATCACTCTCACCATCTATTCCCATCACTCTCACCATCTATTCACCACAATGTCACCATCTATTCACCATCAATGTCACCATCTATTCCCATCACTCTCACCATCTATTCACCATCAATGTCACCATCTATTCCCATCACTCTCACCATCTATTCACCATCAATGTCACCATCTATTCCCATCACTCTCACCATCTATTCACCATCAATGTCACCATCTATTCCCATCACTCTCACCATCTATTCACCATCACTCTCACCATCTATTCCCATCAATGTCACCATCTATTCCCATCACTTTAACCATCTATTCACCATCAATGTCACCATCTATTCCCATCACTCTCACCATCTATTCACCATCACTCTCACCATCTATTCACCATCACTCTCACCATCTTTTCCCATCACTCTCACCATCTATTCACCATCACTCTCACCATCTATTCCCATCACTCTCACCATCTATTCCAATCACTCTCACCATCTATTCACTATCAATGTCACCATCTATTCCCATCACTCTCACCATCTATTCACCATCACTCTCACCATCTATTCCCATCAATGTCACCATCTATTCCCATCACTTTAACCATCTATTCACCATCAATGTCACCATCTATTCCCATCACTCTCACCATCTATTCCCATCACTCTCACCATCTATTCACCACAATGTCACCATCTATTCCCATCACTCTCACCATCTATTCACCATCAATGTCACCATCTATTCCCATCACTCTCACCATCTATTCACCATCACTCTCACCATATATTCCCATCAATGTCACCATCTATTCCCATCACTCTCACCATCTATTCACCATCAATGTCACCATCTATTCACCATCACTCTTACCATCTATTCCCATCACTCTCACCATCTATTCCCATCACTCTCACCATCTATTCACCACAATGTCACCATCTATTCCCATCACTCTCACCATCTATTCACCATCACTCTCACCATCTATTCACCATCACTCTCATCATCTATTCCCATCACTCTCACCATCTATTCCCATCACTCTCACCATCTATTCCAATCACTCTCACCATCTATTCACCATCAATGTCACCATCTATTCCCATCACTCTCACCATCTATTCCCATCAATGTCACCATCTATTCCCATCACTTTAACCATCTATTCACCATCAATGTCACCATCTATTCCCATCACTCTCACCATCTATTCCCATCACTCTCACCATCTATTCACCACAATGTCACCATCTATTCCCATCACTCTCACCATCTATTCACCATCACTCTCACCATCTATTCCCATCAATGTCACCATCTATTCCCATCACTCTCACCATCTATTCACCATCAATGTCACCATCTATTCACCATCACTCTTACCATCTATTCCCATCACTCTCACCATCTATTCCCATCACTCTCACCATCTATTCACCACAATGTCACCATCTATTCCCATCACTCTCACCATCTATTCACCATCACTCTCACCATCTATTCACCATCACTCTCACCATCTATTCCCATCACTCTCACCATCTATTCCCATCAATGTCACCATCTAGTCCCATCACTCTCACCATCTATTCCCATCACTCTCATCATCTATTCACCATCAATGTCACCATCTATTCCCGTCACTCTCACCATCTATTCCCATCACTCTCACCATCTATTCCCATCACTCTCACCATCTATTCACCACAATGTCACCATCTATTCACCATCAATGTCACCATCTATTCCCATCACTCTCACCATCTATTCACCATCAATGTCACCATCTATTCCCATCACTCTCACCATCTATTCACCATCAATGTCACCATCTATTCCCATCACTCTCACCATCTATTCCCATCACTCTCACCATCTATTCACCATCAATGTCACCATCTATTCCCATCACTCTCACCATCTATTCACCATCACTCTCACCATCTATTCCCATCAATGTCACCATCTATTCCCATCACTTTAACCATCTATTCACCATCAATGTCACCATCTATTCCCATCACTCTCACCATCTATTCACCATCACTCTCACCATCTATTCACCATCACTCTCACCATCTTTTCCCATCACTCTCACCATCTATTCACCATCACTCTCACCATCTATTCCCATCAATGTCACCATCTATTCCCATCACTCTCACCATCTATTCCCATCAATGTCATCATCTATTCCCATCAATGTCACCATCTAGTCCCATCAATGTCACCATCTATTCCCATCACTCTCACCATCTATTCACCATCAATGTCACCATCTATTCCCATCACTCTCACCATCCATTCACCATCAATGTCACCATCTATTCCCATCACTCTCACCATCGATTCCCATCACTCTCACCATCTATTCCCATCACTCTCACCATCTATATACCTTCAATGTCACCATCTATTTACCATCAATGTCACCATCTATTCCCATCACTCTCACCATCTATATACCTTCAATGTCACCATCTATTTACCATCAATGTCACCATCTATTCACCATCAATCAATGTCACCATCTATTCACCATCAATGTCACCATCTATTCCCATCACTCTCACATCTATTCACCCGAATCTCGGCGGGGGGTGACGTGAGGGTGGGCGGGGGGTGACCGGAGGATTCGGCGGCGGCGTGGGGGGGGGCGGAACTTTTAATTCCGTCTGTTTTTCCGTTCCGGCCTCGACCCTTTCCACCTCTGCCGTTGACGAGGACGTCATCCGGGCGGAAACAATTGCTCCGCATGCGTCTCGGGCCCTGAAGACGACGACCACCACCAGGGTTCGAGCGACCATGAACACGGCGCTTAAACACTGGAAGGAGGCGGCCACCCTCGTGGTGGCGGCGGGAGGGCGAGCCGGGCTCACGAGGACGACGACGAGGACGAGGAGGAGGCAAGAGGAGCCGTTCGGAGCGGCGAGAGGCCGACAGTGGCCACGGAGTGACGACTTCGACTACGAGGTGAGGCGCCTCACGGCGCCCCCATTGCAACACAAAGATCCCCTCACAATGAAGAAACACAATAACACAATGTCACTTTGACTAGGGGGTGAGACGCCCCCATTACAACACAAAGATCCCCTCACGTTGAAGAAACACAATAACACAATGTCACTTTGACTAGGGGGTGAGACGCCCTCATCAGAACACAAAGATCCCTTCACGTTGAAGAAACACAATAACACAATGTCACTTTGACTAGGGGGTGAGACGCCCCCATTACAACACAAAGATCCCCTCACGTTGAAGAAACACAATAACACAATGTCACTTTGACTAGGGGGTGAGATACCCCCATCGCAACACAAAGATCTCCTCACGTTGAAGAAACACAATAACACAATGTCACTTTGACTAGGGGGTGAGGCGCCCCCATTACAACACAAAGATCGCCTCACATTTAAGAAACACAATAACACAATGTCACTTTGACTAGGGGGTGAGACGCCCCCATCACAACACAAAGATCCCCTCACGTTGAAGAAACACAATAACACAATATTACTTTGACTAGGGAGTGAGACGCCCCCATCACAACACAAAGATCCTCTCACATTGAAGAAACACAATAACACAATGTCACTTTGACTAGGGGGTGAGACGCCCCCATCACAACACAAAGATCCTCTCACGTTGAAGAAACACAATAACACAATGTCACTTTGACTAGGGGGTGAGGCGCCCCCATCACAACACAAAGATCCCCTCACGTTGAAGAAACACAATAACACAATGTCACTTTGACTAGGGGGTGAGATGCCCCCATTACAACACAAAGATCCCCCTCACGTTGAAGAAACACAATAACACAATGTCACTTTGACTAGGGGGTGAGACGCCCCCATCACAACACAAAGATCCCCTCACGTTGAAGAAACAATAACACAATGTCACTTTGACTAGGGGGTGAGACGCCCCCATCACAACACAAAGATCCCTTCACGTTGAAGAAACACAATAACACAATGTCACTTTGACTAGGGGGTGAGACGCCCCCATTACAACACAAAGATCCCCTCACGTTGAAGAAACACACTAACACAATGTCACTTTGACTAGGGGGTGAGGTGCCCCCATTGCAACACAAAGATCCCTTCACGTTGAAGAAACACAATAACACACTGTCACTTTGACTAGGGGGTGAGATGCCCCCATTACAACACAAAGATCCCCTCACGTTGAAGAAACAATAACACAATGTCACTTTGACTAGGGGGTGAGATGCCCCCATTGCAACATATAGATCCCCTCACGTTGGTGAAACACAATAACACAATGTCACTTTGACTTGGGGGTGAGACGCCCCCATTACAACACAAAGATCCCCTCGCATTGAAGAAACAATAACACAATATCACTTTGACTAGGGGGTGAGACGCCCCCTTTACAACACAAAGATCCCCTCACGTTGAAGAAACACAATAACACAATGTCACTTTGACTAGGGGGTGAGACGCCCCCATCACAACACAAAGATCCCCTCACGTTGAAGAAACACAATAACACAATGTCACTTTGACTAGGGGGTGAGACGCCCCCATCACAACACAAAGATCCCCTCACATTGAAGAAACACGATAACACAATGTCACTTTGACTAGGGGGTGAGACGCCCCCATTACAACACAAAGATCACCTCACGTTGAAGAAACACAATAACACAATGTCACTTTGAGTAGGGGGTGAGACGCCCCATTACAACACAAAGATCCCCTCATGTTGAAGAAATACAATAACACAATGTCACTTTGACTAGGGGGTGAGACGCCCCCATTACAACACAAAGATCCCCTCATGTTGAAGAAATACAATAACACAATGTCACTTTGACTAGGGGGTGAGACGCCCCCATCACAACACAAAGATCCCCCAAACGATGACCTCCACTCTCCGTCCCTGTTCCCCCCCAATGATCACCTCTGCTCTCCGTGTTCCCCCAAACGATCACCTCCACTCTCCGCACCCTCTGTCCCTCGCCTCGCCCCCCCTCCCCCCGCGCAGATTCTGGTGGTGAAGCGCAGCAAGGCCAGCGGCTTCATGCCCAACGCGTCGGTCTTCCCCGGCGGCGTTGTCGACAGCGCCGATTTCCACCACGACTGGGCTCGCCTGCTCGCTCCCTGGCGGAAGACTCGGCTCTCCGGCGACGGCGTCGGCATCGCGGAGGACTACGGCGTGACATGCGGTGCCGGGCCGAGGCCACCGATGTTCGCGACGGACCGCGGCAGCCTCGGCTCGGCGATTCCGGGCGAGCTGGCGTTCCGGATCTGCGCCATCCGGGAGACGTTTGAGGAGTCCGGGGTGCTCATCGCTCGGCCCGCGGAGCGGCCGCACGGCACGCCCGGTCAGTTTTTTGTTATTTGCCGTTCGGCACGGAGCAGCGGGGTTTTCGGAGACCGATGTTATTCACGAGTCAAGGTTGGCTTTTGTCGTCATTGCATTAGATCACGTAAATATAAATGCGTCAGGATGTTAAAAGATCAGAATAGGTTTTCTCCCCTTTCTGGCAATAAAACCAGTTGTGTTAAGGTGTTCAAACAAAACACCATGTAGAAATCTTTTGCAAGGACACATGTCTGCATTAACCACACACACACAGTACTTGTGGTGAACATGCAAACAAAAAGATGTTCCGATAACATGTGCATTCATCATCATTAGACCTCCTTTGCCAGTACCAAAATGTAATAATAGGGTTTTTCCCCTTTTTTCTGGCAACAAAACTAAAACCTTTTTACGAGGATTCATGTCTGCATTAACCACAATACCTGCAGTCAAAATGCAAACAAAAGACATACTATTATAACATATGCATTGCCTTTGAAACTGATTGGTCTACACCAGAGATAGCAGCCTTCTTTAGGTCCTAGTCTCGCCACCAGTGTCAGACAAGAGAACAACACCAAGAGACGAACAGCACAAAGACAATGCCACTATCAGAGCATTCATAGCTCGGGGTTAGCAGCTACAACATGGGACCTTTGTTCCAGTATCAAAGTACGAAAAAATATAAAAATAGGTTTTACCTTTTTTGGCAATAAAACAGGAGGTTTTGTTGTTCAAACACCAAATAGAAACTTTTTAACCCGCCACCATCACCTCCGGCAGACACAGCCAAGCAGTAAGGTTTGTCACGTAAACAAAACACGAAGACAGAATCTTGGCAAAAATCGTCCGATGATGCTGGGTGTTAATCCCCAGCGAAACGTCACGGGTCTCAAAATTGTAAATGTTGTGGATTTACTGTCCAGGGCACCGGTGGGCTGAAGTTACTAATTGGCACGTTTTGTTTCATGATACATGTTTTTTGGGCTCTTTGTCCCCTCGTTTGTCAGCTGGTCCCGCCTCCCCAGTCCTCTCACTGCCCCGGCCCCTCCCCCCTCTCTCTATTTAAGGCCTCGGCACAGATTCGTTGTCCTTCTGTTTGTCTTGGTGTGTGTCTCGCTCTCTGTGTCTTTGTGTGTGTCTCTTTCTACATGTGTGTCTGCCTATGCTGTTCCCGTGTCTGTGTTTTTATCATTCATTCTTACCTGATGATGGTTGCTTGTGTTGCAACCGAAACGTCGTATTATATTATTATTTGACTTTATTTTCTACTTGACTTTACCGAAAGAACCAAAGAGTATGTATAAATGTATCGTTAAACCCGCCACCACTCGACACAGCCAACTAGTAAGGTTTGTCACGTAAACAGAACGTGCCAATTCGTCACTAGTACAGCACACCGGTGTGTTGGAGAGCCAATCCACAACATTTACAATCTGAGTACGACGTTTCGCCAGTAGTTACAAGTAGCTTCATCAGGCGACAGTCAGATTTATGGAGAAGTCCACCTGTTTCGTACCTTAAAAAATAACGTTTTTGTTTACGTGACAATCCTTACTTAATTTGGCCGTGTCAGGTGGTGGCGGGTTTAATGACACAACATTTTCTGCACTAACGCGATCTAACCCAAAAAAACGTGTTTTTGCCGTGTTCCGGTTGCGTGGTTAGGTTGGTTGGTCGGTCTGTCAATTATTTAAGTGTTTGATCATTAAATCGTGAAAACGTTTACCCCAATGTTGAACTCGGTCGTGCCACGCGACATTGTTTCATCGACTTGGATCTCCCACGAGGGCGGTGCGACTCTTTGCGCTTGACAGTACGAGGGGGTGGCCCACAGAAGCGGATGCCACAGAGCTACCTCTGAGATCCCTCCACCGGGTGACCGCTGGTCCGCACAATCGTGGGGGGGCGGCACTTTGCCACCCGCCCTACCGTGCAGAGCGAGGGTTCGTCGCATGACAGTCAAACCGATTTAAAATAAATAAATAAAATATCAGAGCTGGACTTTGTCCCAATGAGGTGCTGAGCTGAATTGAAATGTCACGGTTGTTTTTGTGCAGCCAGAAGTGACCGGGCTATAATCCAGCGCCGCCTCTCCCTCTCAGCCTTCTAAACTAAACTTTTTTTTATTTTACCAGGTAAGGCCCACTGTACAGCTCTTTTTCAGAAGGGACCTGGCCATCTCGAAATGATAGCCCAACGAAGTGGAATATTGTCACATGGAATTTTACAGCAGGAGCCAAATACCCTAAACCCATGATGTCGATTCTAAATGTGGAGGGGAAAAAACGCGCGACCACGGGGAGAGAGACACACAAACTCCAAATATACAGCAGCAGGCGTCAGGGTCGGGTTTGAACCCACAACCTCCTGTACACCAGGCGAGGTAGTAAACATCTCCTAGCCACAGTGATGATGATGAGAGAGACACGCAAACTCCAAATATACAGCAGCAGGCGTCAGGGTCGGGTTTGAACCCACGACCTCCTGCGTAACCAGGTGAGGTATTTTAACATCTCACAGCCACCGCGGCGCCCCTGGCTGTGGTTGTATTGCACTCGCATCGACTGCCGCGCCTCTCCCCCTCTCTCTCCCCCCCCCCCCCTCTACCCTCCCCCAGACGAGGCGCCGGCGCTGGCCACCGCTGTGCCGGACTCCCCCGCCCTGCGCCGCTGGCGTGCGCTGGTGCTCTCGGACGCGCGTCTCTTCGCGGCCATGTGCTCGGAGCTGCGCGTGGTGCCTGACGTGTGGGCGCTTCACGAGTGGAGCGACTGGCTGACGCCCGTGCCGCTGGCGCCGCCGGCGGCGGGCGCCCCGCCTCCGCGCCGCTTCGACGCCGTCTTCTTCCTCTGCTGCCTGGCGGAGGCGCCGGCGGCTTCGCACGACGACCACGAGACGGTCGGCGCCCAGGTGGGACTCGTTGCCCGTTGTCACGCTCGTCGTTACGCACGGCGCGTGCAAGCGACCGAACCGCAGAAAGCTCGCCGATCTCTCGTCAAGCGGCATAAACCGTCGTCGCGCGCGAACTCCGGTCATCCTCGCGGCGGCAGCGGCGGCGGCGGCGGCGGCGGCTTGTGGCTGGCCATCGAGCGAAGGCGGCGGTCGCCGCATCGTCGCGCGGCGCTTTCAGCCGCGCTGCTTCTGCGGCCGTCTGGAACGCTCTTCCTTCCGATATTAGGAAGCCGGCTGGGAGCTGCACACTTTTAAATCGTCATCTCAATTGACAAACTCATTTCTGCAGAACCGCTTTTTGTGTTGAGTTTGCCGTCCATCCCCCCGCGCCTCCGATTAGCCACGGTTGGCGACGAAAGAAGTTCAACGCGCGTGCACGCACGCACGCACGCACGCACGTTGGAGCCGCGAGCGCGTTCGACGCCGGCGCTGTCGTTCCGAGGGCGCGGGGAAGGCGCCGCTGTGCTCCACAGACGCCGTTCGCAGCGAAGGTTTGCGACGTTGTCGCCTTGCCCTGAGTAGATTGCGACGTCGTTGTCTTTGTGTATTTTCGGCAGATTTTGGGGCCGCGACACCGGGGCGCGCATTGCAAAAACGTTTTTTTTTTATGAACGGCGTCAGATGTGCGGCTGATGACGCGTACGTTTGCCACCTGGTTAATGCTGCGGTTACCACACACCGCAGGGGCCACGGGGCGTGAACCGCGAGCCCTTGCAACAGGCGGCAAACGTAACGCAGCTTTCAGTGATATCACCGCCGTCGCCACCGCTAACGTTTCCCAATCCCCCCACCCCATGTCCACCCTGTGCCACCACCACGACCGCCACTACCAACAACATTGGTACCACGATCACCACTTCCGCCACTACCACCACCATTCATAATACCTACCACCACCATGACCGCTACCACCACCATGACCGCTACCACCATCGCCACCGTCACCACCGTCACCACCTCACCACTAACACCACCACCACCAACGCGACCACCAACCACCACCACAACAACTATCACCACCACCACCACCGTCACTACCTCACCACTAACACCACCAACACGACCACCAACCACCACCACAACCACCACCATCACCACCACCATCACCACCTCACCACTAACACCACCAACACGACCACCAACCACCACCACCACAACAACCACCACCACCACCGTCACTACCTCACCACTAACACCACCAACACGACCACCACCACCACCACCACAACCACCACCATCACCACCACCACCACCGTCACCACCTCACCACTAACACGACCAACACGACCACCACCACCACAACCATCACCACCACCATCACCACCTCACCACTAACACCACCAACACGACCACCAACCACCACCACCACAACAACCACCACCATCACTGTCACCGCCTCACCACTAACACCACCACCACCACCACCGTCACCACCTCACCACTAACACCACCACAACCACCACCACCACAACAACAACCACCACCACCACCGTCGACGCCGCAGTGGGTGTGCCCGCCGGAGCTGCTGTCCCGACACGAGGCGGGCGCCCTGTGGCTGGCGCCGCCGCAGCAGTACGAGGCGGCGCGCCTGTGCCGCGTGCCGGCGCTGCTCTCGCTCGCCGACTTCGCCCGCCGCCGGGCCGCGCTGGGGCTGCACCGCTGGATGCCGGTGCGGGTCCCGGATCCGGCGGGAGGAGGAGGATTGGTGGGGGTGCTGCCCGGTAAGCGGGGGAGCTGCCCCGGTCGCCCCGGTCGGAGAGGGAAGAGAGAGAGTGGGGGGGGGGGGGGAGAGGGGGAGGGGGGAGACATGCGGCGGTCGGTGCGGGTGCGGTGCAACCACAGCCAGGGGCGTCGCGGTGGCTATGAGATGTTAACTGCCTCGCCTGGTATGCGGGAGGTCGTCGTGGGTTCCATCCCGACCCTGACGCCTGCTGCTGTATATTTGAAGTCTGCGTGTCTCTCTCTCATCATCATCATCATCATCACGGTGGCTAGGAGATGTTGACTACCTCGCCTGGTATACAGGAGGTCGTGGATTCGATCTCGACCCTGACGCCTGCTGCTGTATATTTGGAGTTTGTGTCTCTCTCTATCTCTCCCCGTGATCGCGTGGATTTTTCAACCGGGGCCTCCGGTTTTTCCCTCCACATTTTGAATCAACATCACGTGTTTAGAGCATTTGGCTGCCACTATAAATTTCCTCGTGATGATGATTCGTTGAACTATCATTTGTGATGGCCAGGTTGCTTCTGAAAAAGAGAGCTATGTCGCTCAGTGGGGCCATGTCTGGTAAAATAAACGTAGTTTAAATTTATTTGGGGGCGGCATGGACGTTAAGAAGCCTCAGGCGGTGTCATCATTCGAAAAAGCCTCCCATTACCCCCACGGCGAAATTTCCAATTTATTAATTTTTTCCGGAAACAATTTTCCAGAGGTCGCACCGACGCCAAGAATCGACTCGGTCGGGGAAAAAGCCACGTTGGAAATCACCGGGCCCCGCCCTTGCGAAAAAACTGGGCAGGAACCGATCCTCAAAAATCGGTCCTGCCCAAGGCGAGGCTTTTCTGGGGTACACAGGCGGCTTGCGCATCGCCCCACCAGTCTCACCGCCGGCGGGGTTGAGCCGGTGCCACTTAACCGGCATCATTGGCATCGCCGCCGCCGAGCCTCGGAGGGGCGCGCTCGCGTTCGGCGCCCTCGCCAGCTGCACTCGGCCCCCGGCGGAGCGTACGGCCGTACAGCCAGGGGACCTTTGTCTTTGTTGTGTATGTTGGGAGGGATGGGCAGCGTCGCGGTGGGCGCACCGCGCTTACGAACCCCACTTGGCCGTGTTCGATTCCCGTGCGCGGCAAACGTCAGTTTGTGAATAAATATTCACACGGTCTGACCTTGGGCTTACCCGAGGTCATTTTGGCCTCAAATGAGTACCTGATGAGATGCGTAAAAGCATCAACAATGGAGAGACAAAGCTTGCTGGGTGTGGTGCCCGCCTTCATAGGTGCTACCCGCTAACAGCACTTGCCCCGGCAGTCTGCCGTAGGTTATCCGGGGGTTGGGGGGGGGATCTTTGTGTTGCCGCAAAATACATGAGCAGACTTTTACCCCCTCCTCCATGTATCTGTCCATCCACTCGGCATTTCTGGGAGTGCGTGATTTCGGCCGCATTGGTTTAACGCACGCAAAGCTCTGGGGCGCTTTTAACGTGGTGCAGTGCGTCTCATCGGCCGAGTCGGGCTCCCTTGCATTGCTTCAGTGCAATAAAAAAAGCCTCGTCAGCAGCGAGGAGCTGGCGAGAACCGCCAGACGTCTAAAAGGCGAGGGCTAGTTGAGACACACACGCGGGCGCGTCTCATCGACGCACAGCGGTAACATTCCTTAATTTCGCCTCTGCGCCGACACGCCCGGTAGGCCCGCATCGTCCTCCCACCGCCCCCTTCCCCCCGCGTTGTTATTTCGCCGTCGTCTGATCCGCCGCCCCCCCTGCCAGGAGATGAGCTGTACCCGGCGGAACCGGACGAGGTTGGCGGTGGCCACGGCGCCGTGGCCCAACCGGCACGGCCGTCGCGGCCGGGCACCGCGCCGCGCCTGCACCGCACCACGACGGCGCGGGGCCGCGCCGGGGTGCTGCTCACCGTGGCGCCCGAGTTTGGCCACCTGGCTCCGTTCGTCAGGGAGGACGACGCGGAGGAGGAGGAGGAGACGAAGACGAAGAAGCCAGAGTCGGGGATTGGGAGCCGACTGTGAGCTCCGTGTCACTCCGCCTGACGGAGTCACGCGTCGTCATCCGTGCGGATTGATAACAGCGGATTAAAGGTGCAGTTGTACAAGTTGCTATCCGCGCTCGGTTGCCTGTCGGGAAGCAGAGCGGATCTCGCCCGTTCCTCCTTGCGAGGAGGAAAGGCGGCATCAGCGACGACGACGGAGTGTTCACGATGTGCGGTCGATTCGATGTTGGGATTCGTGGCCGCGCCCGCTCGCAGGGCCGCCGAGTCTTCAGCGCGCACGGATGGCACGGACGATCGCGGGGGGGGGTGGGTGGGGTGGGGGAGGGGGGGGGTGGCCTCTTTGGGTCGCCTCGCCCCGCTTGGATCGAATTAATTGCGAATGATGCAACAGCTGACGACGGCGTCTTGGGCAGAGGGACGGGGCGGGGGGGCGGGGCTGGAATGGGTGGTGGTGGCGCAACGGTGACTTTCGTGGTCTCGCCGCGAGAAAGGGAGCCCCGGTCCGCGTTTGATTTCCGACTAGGGCGACTTTCTGCGGTGGGGAGTGTGTGTGTGTGTTTTTTTTTTTGTTAGCGTGCTGCCCTACGAACCCCGCAGAGAGCCGAGTTCGATTCCCTGCTCATATCTGAACCGGACCTGGGCCTCCCCTCGGTCGACTCGGCCTTAAAAAAAAAATGAGTACCTGGTGCGGTGTGTGAAAACGTCGCCACGGGGGAGACAAAGGCGGCCGGGCTTGGTGTTGGCCACCCACCCGCTCGTGCACCGTGCCAGCCTTCACAGGTGCTCGCTTAACAGCACTTGCCCCAAACGGACTGTGTAGGCTGCACGGACGATCTTCGGCTTCTCTGTACATGGGTCACGTCACTCGGACGAAACCTTCCCCTTCGTGTCGAATGGCGGCTGCTGTTGTTGCTGTGTGCATGGGGTGCGTGCGAGCATGTCGGTCATCCACCTCCGTTAACCGCTATGCCCCGTGACCTCCCGTCAACGAGCCCCCCCCCCCCCTCCCCGTCCCATGTTTCACGTGACAAAGTCCTCAAAGTGCACCTAGCCTGGCACAGGCACTGTGGCGGGAGGATCTCTTGTGTCGTCTTGTGTCGTCTTGTGTCTTCTTGTGTCTTCTGTCTTCGAGTCAGAGATCACGAGCGCACAAAGGGGATCAGAAACGACAATAACTTAGGTCTGCTGCTGCCGCCGCTGCCGCCACCACCACTGCTGCTGCCACCACCACTGCCACCACCACCGCCACCACCACCACCGCCATCGCTGCTGCCACCACCACCGCCACCACCACCGCCGCCACCGCTGCTGCCGCCACCACCACCGCCGCCACCGCTGCTGCTGCTGCTGCTGCTGCTGCCGCCGCCGCCGCCGCCGCCGCTGCTGCTGCCGCCACCACCCCCACCACCGCTGCTACCACCGTGAGCTGAGAGGCTGTTCATCGAGGAGCCGCCCTACAGACGCGTGGCGCCCGCCACCTTGAGGAAGGGAGCGGACACCCCCTCACCCCCCCCCACCCCCCCCCCTCCACCCCACCCCCGTCGTGTGGAATGGGAAATTCCTCGACAAACCCAAGAACAAAAGACCTTGAGTCCAAGCACTTCAAACAGGAGACCTTGGTGTGACTTGGCATCTCTTGAACGACTGTTGTGCATTTCATAAAAACACAAGAATATCGGTGTTTTGCCCTTTCTGGCAATTAAACAGGAATTTTGTTACGACGTTCAAACACCAAACTGATGCCTTTTGCAAAGGAATCAAGTTCCTGCGTTAACCACACACAGCACTTGTGCTGAACATGCAAACAAACATGCTCTGATAATGTATGCATTGTCTTTGACACTGATTGGCCTACACCAGAGACGGCAGCCTTCTTCATGGCCTGGTCTCACTAACAGTGTCAGACCGGAGAACAACGCCAAAAGGCGAACAGCACAAAGACAATGCCACACGTGTCAGAGCATTTGTGGGAGCTATATCACGGGATACCTTTTTGCCAGTGTCAAAGTATGAAAAATAGGAAGAGGTTTTTGCCTTCACCCCAACCCCCCCCCCCCCCCCCCCCCCCCCCCCCCCCCCGTTTCACTTGAGACCTCTGGATACAGAATATATTTCTCCGGACTACGCAAATCAACATTGCCCCACCGTGTCTGCAAAAACTTGACAGGACCCTCCGGGTCACCGAGTGGGAGTGATGAGCAGCGTTCGGTGAACTCCTGGGATGTTTTGTAGGAACGTACAATGCAATCGTCATAGAGCTGTGTGTCCGTGTGTGTAGTTTAATGAAAGGGGGAGCGGTCGTTCGAGCGGTTAGCGCGCTGCACTTTGAACCCGGTCACCCGAGTTCGATTCCCGCTCACGATCGCCAACACCCGGTGACGATTATCCGAGGCGATCCTGGGCCTCCGCTAGATCGACTTGTCCTTAAATGAGCACCTGGTGCGGTGTGTAGTAAACATCGCCGCTGGGGAGACAAAGGCGGCCGGGCGTGGTGCTGACCACCCACCCCCTCGTGTTTCCGTGCCGGCCTTCATAGGTGCTGCTCGCTAACAGCACTTGCCCCTACAGTCTGTTAAGGCTATATGGGGGATATTTATAGTTTATCAGCCTAACTGCTGTCAATTCATAATTTAATCAATGCAGCACTCAGGAGAGTGATTGATTGACAGGACCGTTGCTTATGTAGATACGTTGAACGTCTTTCGCACCACCGTACGTAGCCAACCGTGCTCATTGGAGGTGCGGGGAAAAACTGAACACAATAAGTGGTCCTATCAGTCGTATGGCCTGCATTGACATTCAAAGGCAGGTGTGTTAATGGCATTGCCGGTAATGTATATAGAATTGTCCGTCGTGCGTTCATTCGATTCTCAGTCCGCCTGTCTCGGTGAGAGTCGCGGCGGCAGCGTGTTGAGTAGTGGCGGTCCACACATCCCTTTCCCTGGCGACAGCACTACTACACTATACACTACACTATACATTACTACACACCACTACTACACTATACATTGCTATACACAGACTCTGGCTTTTTCTGGGGAGTTCCCAGTGGTTCCCAGGCCAGCCGAGCGACATCGTCCCACCGCCAATGTGTCCTGGGCCGGCCCACCGAAGCATCGTAACCTTCTCGTGGTGGTGGGGTCTTGTGTGTTGCAATGACCCTCAAAACTATGCCACCTGGAGTCTTGTACTCTTGGCAGGGGTCTCCCCTTTGGCGAACAGATCTGGGGGGGGGGGGAAGGTTCCAGACAAATAACGGTCCAAACCAAAGCCCCCTCATGAATGGTGCAAAAATACTAAAATCGGAGAACCTCTGCCGGACAAGGGATACCGGGACACGGACGCCTGGAGCCAGGCCTGAGGGAGGGTGGCGCTTGCCGGCAAGCGGCCGGTGGCCGGGGTGACCCCCGCAACGTAAACCCGGTCGGGCCCAGCCCGAGATGGCTTCGTGGTGCCGTCCCGTGGGCCCGCCAAGCGCGGGACGAAGGCTGAGGGGCGAGCGCGATGCCCAGCGTTGCAGGGAGAGGGATGGTCTCGGAATTGTGTCCGAATTGTGTCCACTGTATCCTACGAACCGGGCGAAGTTTTTGTTCACGTTGCAAACCTTACCAATTGGGCCAATGTCGGGCTGGTAGCGGGGTTTAACGACACAGCATTTAAGTCACGTGATCTATTCTAGATTTGAAGTTTTCGTGATTGCAAGGGTCCATACTCCTTGGTTCTTTCGGTAAAGTCACGTAGGTGAAAAAAATTAATTAAAAATATTAAATCAAAAATAGAAATGAATAAATCACGACGTTTCGATTGCAACTCAAGCAATCATCGTCAGGTGTGACAACCACATCTGATGACGATTGCTTGTGTTGCAATCGAAACGTGGTGATTTATTTATTTAAAAAAAATTCCACACCTACGAGGCTTTGCGTGATCTAGCCCACAAAAAAAAAAACCTGTTTGTGGATGATATTGGTCGCAGAAGGTCCCTACTGCTTTTAACGCACGAGTCGCGTTTCTCGGTCAAATTTTTCGCGCGAAAGCCGCGCGACCGCCGGTTTGTCCGGGCCCCCGGCGCTCTGCGCTCTTGTTTCACGCCGCGTTCCGCAGAGCACGTGACTTCTCGTGTTCGGACCGATCGCCAAATCCCCCCCCCCCGCGCGCCCGCGGGTTTCAACCGGCAGAACGCGTGGGGGGTCCTGGGTTTTGCAGAGACGCCCAATTAAAATGGCCCAGAAATAATTTTCTCTCGATAATGGGGAATCGACAATTGAGCCTGGAGCAAATCTTAACGTGTGCCCAGCAACTGTTGCTACTGCTACTGTTTTTTTTATTTTACCAGGTACAGCCACACTTCGCTATGCATCTATTTTTCAAATTCGACCTGGCCACACATGATAGTTGAACCAAGTGGCTTATCGCGTGAAAATGTATAGCATCAGCCAAGTACTCTAAAACGCACGGTGATGTTGATTCTAAATGTGGAGGGGAAAACTGGAGGAGCCAGAGACAAATCCACGCGAACACGGGGAGAGAGAGACACGCACACTCCAAATATACAGCAGCAGGCGTCAGGAGTCGGGATCGAATCTACGACCACCTGTATACCAGGCGAGGTAGTTAACGTCTCCCAGCCACCGTGTTTATTTTTGCCCTGAATCAACCTGACGCACATTTTCATTCTAAGCGAAAGCCATGCCTCGTGAGCACAGTTGCAATCTATCTTAAACAAGCGCTGTCTCATGACAAGATCGCATTCTTGCCCAATCAAGCTCAGTCCAGGTAACACAGAAAAATATTGTCTCTCACCGGGCTACACCGCGCGTCGCCTCTCCGTCGCGAGCTCTCGTATCTCCGAGCGCCGCATCTACAGCTCTCCAATGTGAATGTTTTTGGCTCCTGAACAAGGCCTCTCCACCCCACCCCGGCTCGTGGAGCGGAACGTCGGACATCGTGCCCCAACCACACGCACAGCGGCAGCACGACCGCGGAAAAAAAAACTCCGACGTCGTGAGCGCATCGGTCAGGGCTAAGGGTGACGGGAGGGCGGTGATGATTCAAAAGGGGCTCTCGGTGGCCAGTCTGACTGCATTCCTTCTTCGCCAGCAGAGTTGGTCATCCGCTGCCTCTTGGGGAGGGAAGGGGCACGCCATGGTGGCTATGAGATGTTAACTCTCTCGCCTGGTGTGCAGGAGGTTCATGGGTTCGATCCCGACCCTGATGTCTGCTGTATATTTGGAGTTTGCGTGTCTCTCTCTCTCCCCGTGGTCGCGTGGATTTTTCTCTGGGGGTCCTCCGGTTTTTCCCTCCACATTTAGAATCAACATCACGCGTTTAGAGTCTTTGTTTGGCTCCTGCTATAAAATTCCACGCGATGATGAGCCACTTTCTTTGAGCGATCATTTGTGATAGCCAGGTAGCTTCTCGCAAAGAACTACATCGTTCAGTGGGGCCTTACTTGTTAAAATAAAAAAATATATAGTTTATTTGTCGTTTTTAATCACGAGAGAATGTGCAAAGAATGTACACACACAAGATGCACTTAATAAACATTTCACTTTAAACTATACACAGCATTGCGTGTGATTAGAAGTTCGTTGTGTGCGGAATGTAGGGTGGTGGCGACACGCTAAGAAGGGTCCTGGGTTCAAT